TTATTACCTATAACTATGCTATTTAATTTTTTTTCATTGGACTTGTAGTTTTACCGGAAATCGAGGTAAACATTTTTTTACTCTTAAAAACTCACCCCCTCCCACGTCCCGACCTCAGATCACCAGTTATTATTTTTCCTTTCATTTTTGTTATATTCTCTTGCTTTTCCAATGGGTTTCATCCTACTATAATTATTTTTCTCTTTTTACCATTATCAAAGGTATCAGCCCTGGTCTTAGTACGATATTATTATTAATACAATATTTTTGCGAACAATTTTATAAAACAAAATCCACACTAGCTAACCGTTATAATTTATTCGTGGCAAAGCAGACAAGTCATTGCCCTAAGTCTAACCACGTCTTAAATATTCACACAGCTCCTTTGATCAATTATATGTATATGGGTAGGTACTTGAAATGTGATTAAAACTTATTAAACTAATATTTTCGTATAATTTAAAGACATAGTTTGTTACTAATACAGCACATTTTAATTGGAATCAAACAATATCTAACTATTCGACTTACATGACTTACTTAAGTGAGTACTTATTTAATGAATAATGTATGAACTTAACCTTAAAACCTCTCACAATGTAGACAAAAATATAACATAATATCTTATGATCCATGGCTGGAGAATATTGCGGGCTGAAACTATATATAAATATACATCATACATATATCTATATTTGCCGTGATTTGTTTATTCAAGAATCTAATTATGCTACCAGTGTTATTTAGTATTTTTAATATACTCGCATAATATCCTCTTAGAATCACTTGATATAATGTCCTCTTAATGTATACATATAATAAAATTGTATCTAAGCCGAATCTGTACATTACATATTTTTTGGAAAATCTTATTGAAATAGACATTATTATCGATACAGAGGCCGAATCTATAGTTTTTAGAATTTTTGCCTGTCTGTCTGTCTGTTACCGTATCACGGAAAAACCACTGAAGGGATTTTGATGAAATTTGGTATGATGGTAGCTGGTTATCCAGGTTAACATATAGGATACTTTTTACTGCGGGAAAATATCTCATCTCTGAGAAATCTATACTAAACGTTAAAACGTAGCTAGGAACGAACCCGGGCGGAGCGAGGGTGAGTTGATAGTCGATAATAATTGTTACGGTGGCCACTGTGTCACTCTGTGCAATACAATCACTGCTTTCTATTTTCCTTCAATACGCACCATTCGAAAAGACGACAACTCAGAACTACCTGTGAATGATGAGAACTGAGATCAGGCGCATGACGGAGAGCTTTAGGTGCACACACCGCCAACTTCGGGCTGCTACTGAGCCTTTTGTGATTTTTTTCGTAAAATGAATAAAAGTAGTTTTGAATATAACATATAGTAAATGCCTCATTCTCGTAAATTTTCTTTTTCAAATTGTTAAAAATAACCATACTAGTATTGCTAACCCACAACGAGCTTTTTCTTTTCATGTATCACGTGATGAATTAATTTACTTGCCTTATTCTATATATGGATACCAAAATTCAATCATACCCGTCTAGTAAATTGACAGACCGACATACAGGCAATCTCACAAATGATAAGGGTTCCAGTTTACCTTTTTGAGGAACCCTTAAAAATATTTCATTTCGCCGTGTACGCAGAAACCTTGAAAGGCAAGTTTCATTGCTCTATCTCTATTAAATATACTTCTGAATTTATACATAATATGACTAGTACAGACGTTGTTATTTAAACATCATAGTTCATAAATTCGACTATATAATTACAAATTTTCTATTTCTTTTTGAAATATAATCTATACATATAAATATCGTCTGTTTGTTATGTCGAAATAAAAGCTTTTTACTAAAATTATAACATTGCAAAAATTATAATTTCATTATCACATATGAAATTATATGCGGTACCTACTTATAAGCGAAACATTTTTTTTAATTATTGTCTGTCTGCCACTTTATTCTGGCTAATCTCCGAAACGGCTGGACGGATTTTGACTTTGACTGACACATATGTTATAAGGAGTAACTTAGGCTACTTTCAATTTAACAGAATAAAATTATAAATAGATATAATTAATTAATAAAAATAAAATAGAATTAAATTAAATGAATTAAACAGAATGAGGGTTTCGCTCAAAAATATAAAACGTGGTGAAAAATATAAAAGCACTCGAGCGAAGCGAGGTTAAGTCGCTAGTTAATAATAAAATTCCAATATTATTTCTATAGATCAATATAAAAATTTCTCGAAAGATTTCATTCACGCTCCAATTACTATATTTTACAGCGCGCAAACTTACCTGAATAGTAGATTTAATTAATGGCGCCCGAACTATCAGATAACTTTAACTTTTACTTTTGTGAAGTAAAATAAATTCAATTTGAACTGCTCTTTCGCTTTAAAACATCGGCAAGGATAAAGTTACGACGTATTAGAGAAAGCTGGTTACAATACTGTGCAGGTATAATCAAGCGCGTTTGAAATACACTAAACGTTTAAAATAGCACTTTTAGAAGTAAACTATGGAAATTTCTAATGCTGACACCTATTAATACCGGTATATTTACATTAAACATATTTTCTTTTGAATTTGGTGTTTTTATAACCAGCTACCCCTGATATGTTCTTCTGATCGATTCCGGCCACAGCGGCCAATCTCATTGAGACTAGCCAACTGCGCAGGAGATATTATAGTGCTGCTCTATCTATATCTATATAGTATCTGCTCCCGCCTTAACCTTCTCAACCAACGTGGAATCCTAGTCGGGCCTGTCACATAATCAAAATATAAAACTTACAAATAAATAAGCTTTTATCCAGATGCTCTAAATTTAAAACAAAAAAAACAAAATAAAGTAGCTGAACAAATAACTATATTTTTTTAAATAAAACTATCTTTTCGGATTATTTCGCGGATTTATTTTGATTTTTGGCTCCCGACGTTTCGAATGCTTTACAGCATCCATGGTCACGGGAGAGACTGAGGTGTTACATGTCTTGAAGGTATAGTTGTTACAGATAGCCTACCCACAATTAACAAAATGAAAATTGCACCAATTACATTACAATATTTTTAACTTTAAACATTTTTATAATTTTAATTATAATTGAATATGGAATATTATTTATTTAATTTTTGCTATTATTTTTATAATTATTACAATTTTAAAAATATTAATTAGTAATCTATATTTAGTGTTGCAATTATTATATTTATAACCATAAAGAAAAATATAAAATATAGTATTAATTATTTAAGCCATATAATTGTTCTATGTGTAATTTAAAAAAGTTATAATTAATTAAGGATAATAATTTTAATTTAGTTTGGTATTATTTAAAAACAATATATATTAGTCGTACAGTAACTGGAATAATAGTTACTGCCATTAGGTATAACTGGAGCTAAATGATTGTGATGATTTTGTGAAAATCATTTTCTAATTTAAAGTTTCTAATGCTATATTATTATTTAGAACAGAAAATCAACAAAGAAAATGTATTAAAATGAGTGAAATGAATGAAAACTGCGCATATAATCAATACTTCAATATTTTATTTAATATGATAAATGTTAAAGTGTCTTTGTTTGTCCTTCTTTCCCGTCGAAACGGAGCGACGGATTGACGTAATTTTTTTTTGTGGAAATAGTTGGAAGGCTGAAGATCTCATTCCCACGGGAAAATACGTTATAGTACAATCCAAAAAAATATTTATGACCAGAATTACTCTGAAACTTAGTATTAATGCTCTTCAATACAATTAAATAAATACGTGTTTTATTATTTTGGGTCAAGGGGGGTCAAGGGGGTAAAATACGGGGTGAAAATTTGTATGAAACCTAACCTTTTTAGTGCCTTTTTTTTAGTTTTAGCGCGAGCGAAGCCGCGGGATATGCTAGTATGAATATAAATAAATAATAAAAATTCAAAAAACGTCTCAGTAAACGACAGTCGCTATCTCGGCGGTGCTGATGATTTGTACAAGAAACCCTTGCCGTTATTGTGTTATGGTTTATGACCTCATCATTAGCATAATATAATTATCATAGTATTTTATTACAACAGATTCAAAATTATAAAATGTCCTACATTTTTAATGAGATTTTTGAAACAGTCATGGAAGTTTTTCTATAATTTATTTCAAAATTTCTTCTGTAAGTAAGGTGATTAATTAAGACGCTACAAAGTTTTACGTTACGAAAGCTGCGGTATAAAAACTGGTAATAAGGCCTTCAAACGCTCCAGTGAATCTTAAATGAATTCCACATTCTTGTAATATAATTTACTTATTTTCGCTAACTCATATAACCAATAAAATATTATTATTTTTAACCGACTTCCAATTCCAAAAAGGAGGAGGTTCTCAATTCGTCGAAATCTGTTTTTTTATGTATGTTCATCGATTACTCGAAGACGCCTGAACCGATTTGGATTTATTTTTGTTTCAAAGGGTATACTTCCCAGGTGGTCCCATATAAATTTTATCGAAATCGGTCGGGCGGTTTTTAAAATAATTAACAATAAATATATTTTTTAAATAAAATGAATAAGCCTACAATATTTTAAAATATGAATATCTAATAGGTAAATATGTATTTTACGTATCAAAATATATATTATTTAGATTTGCTTTGCATCGGCTGGCACCGACTTCGAAAATATCTGATTAAGTATCTTTAATTTTAAATAAAAACCTCCGTTTAGTTATTTTTTACATTTTAGTGCCTGGAAGTCGGTTTTTTTTTTGTTAAAAAGTTTTTATTCTTTACTAAATTATATTCTCATGAAATTCTTAATTACTGTAGATTTTCTTTCTCAATCTTTCTGATTGCACTAGACATTTTTGTGTAAAGAAAATCAACACTTTACTACAAAACGAATATGTTACACAAAAGATACAGATGTATTGAAGACGATATTGCATGTTTCATTACTTTCAAAGTAATTACGATCTGATCCAATAGTAATATAACATTGATAAGAAAACTTTTGTTACAGTTTCGGACTTCACGACACAGCTGTCGCAACTCTACGAACGGCATTCCTCAGAATTACAACTGTTGGTTGCGGCTTTCCGTAAACGAAACAGTGATTTAAGAAAAGAGAGGTAAGTTTTACTTATTAATTTAATACTGTGCTATAGAGTCTGGCTAATGATAGCGTAACCTGAGAAAACGCGGCAAATTCAAAAAATCTTTATATGGTATTAATAACTATAGTAAGAGAAAAATGTTTTTATACTTGAATATTGTTTGTATTTACGACAAATTATAATTTTGTATAATAGTTATTTGCGAACTTAATTTCTAATTTAATGAACACATCACGTCCTTAATATTCTGAAAAATTTCTAATTGATATCAACATCATACTTTACAAAAGAAAATGTCCGAGCCGTGTTTCAAAATTAAGTAATCGATAAGTTGTTTTTTTAATTTGATATACATTTTTATCAATTCATTGTAAACAACTCGAATCTAATATTATTATACACGTTTCACGTTATATGTATGTACCCATAAGTTTATGCACAAAAATGTATACAGCTACTAACAACGCTTAAAATCAGAGCAACCAGAGACTTCGAAACTTGACGTGCCTTTGACAGCTCAAGAATGTAGCCCTATGAAAACTTTTAAGAAAACTCCAGGACATGCTTCCATTAGTTAGTCAGACTCTAATAATATTATTATTATGTAGGTACCACTGTCTATTGCCTTTTCTCGCTGCCACAGAACAGATTTCGTTAAAATTTGAGAAGAATATAGATTGTAGCCGCTTATGACGCGAGCGAAGCCTCGGCCAAAAACTATTTTTTTTTACATAGTGTAAGAAAAGGTCTAAATTTTATTTCGAATAAATTATTCTTTACTGACACACTAGACATCCATTAAACATAAAGTAATTTGTGTATGTAATTATTTTAAAAGCTTTGAACGACAATTTAAGTTTACTTTCAGCGTATAAGCAATATGTTAATATCTAGTCCTCTTTGATTTCTTATTCACTTCACACAATCATCATCGAAAAATGCACACATATTGTGTAAATATAATATATCTAGACAAACTAGTAAATTAATATACCTAATAAGCACTAAATCGAGGAATCCAATACTAGATGAACATAGTCATCCAAATTCGTCGTTTTAATGTGCAGCAGTAACAGATATATACTCACACGTACGAACTTTCACATTTATAATAATAAGTCGTATTCCGATTAGTACCATGAAACATTGAAATTCAAATAGACGCTTGTAACACAAAAGATACAAATAAATTTTAGAGAGAAGTTTGAAATATTTATTCTCAAATAATAAATAAATATGTTGGGACATTAACACACAGCACCATCTAGGTCCATAATAAGCTACTACGAGGCCTGTGTTATGGATATAAGATAGTTAATACCCTACACACATATAACATTAAATACAAACATATGATACATATAAACACCTATGACTGGAACACAAACATTCGTGGTCATCAAACAAATGATTGCCCCCAGCGGGACTCGAACCCGTGACCGCTGGCACAACAAGTAGGGTCACTACAAACTTAGCCAAACGTGTCGTCATTATATTATCTTAAGTATGTTTTGTTTAAGTAGATAAATATCTTTTATTTAAATAAATAACTAAATTATAAAAATAACTTGAGCCTTGTGTAAAACAAAACCTGATGTTTATACAATCTACTGCAGAGGAGTTGAATGGTTTGTCTGAAGTTAATCTTGCCTTAGGGAGCTGACCCATGAAGGTTGTTATAATACTGAAAATAATAAACATACACCTAATTGAAAATTAAACTTATATTTGTTGAACAAACTAACTAAAACATTGAAACAAAGATTAATATTTCCAAACCGCTATATTCAATTTGGATAAAACAAAATATAAAATGTGTAAGATTTATAATTTAAAAGCAACATTAGAGAATTGGATGTGTTTTCTAACTGTCTCCGAAAGAAAACAGAATCTATTGTTCGTGAATTCAATTTAATCAGTACATGTGAATTCGGTCCTAAATGTAACAATAAATATAAAAATGTACTCGTATTATAGTATGCTTTAGAAAATTTGAATTCCTTAACAGAAATCTTTTTTTTTATTGAACGATAGGCTTGCGCTTGACTACAATCAGCGCTGGGAAGCACTGATGAGGTCTAGGTTGGAGCGCGCTTGCCTAGAAAATGCCTATTCACTTGCTATTTGCCTTGCAATGCCTATTGCCTTGAAAGTACTTAGATTATAAGTGGCAGAAAACACGTATGCTGGAAGGGTGTTCCACTCCTTAGCGGTTCGTTTCAGAAACGTAGAACTAAAGCGATTCGTGCGTGTTGGTTGGATTTCTACCACATAAGGATGCCAGCGCTCACGACTTCTCGCAGTTCTTTGGTAAAACGGTGAAGGGGGCACAAGGTTGTGAAGTTCCTGCGCGCACTCCCCTAAGTATATCCGATAGAAGATCGATAGACAGGCGACATTGCGTCGATGCTGTAGACTAAGCAGTTTCATCTGCGTTAGATTGATCAATTATATTTTAAAACATATTATATTTATTTAATTTGTTTTTAATTCTATACTTACCTCGTTTAACAAAGGTTTCAATATAAATTCATAAAAAAATCCATATTTAGGTAGGTAATCTTATTTCGAAAAGTGCTCTTTATAATTCCATGCTCAATGAAGTGTCAGCTCTTTTATGTGTTTTTCCATACATTAGTACCTACTACAAGCTACTGTCGACGGCTTTGAACGTATATGTAAAGGCACAGACACTTACACAAGTTCAAAATGCTTTCATAACACTAATTTGCAGTTTATTTTTTAAACTTTTACCCCTTAAAAGATCGTCCAATCAAAAATTTATCGCGGTTTTATTTTTTGTTACTGACCTTTTCAATGCTTTACAGAAAAAATTGGTCACATTCATTTAAAATTTAAAATTATTTGCGCAGTGCTAATATTATAAACAATATTTTATATTGAACATGTTCCATCAACGTTAAAAAATAATAGCTTTTAATAAAAAAAAACTCCTATAGAAAAAATCTATAAAACAGCAATATTTTTAATTGTAATAAGTGAAACAATGTAGAGTTTATTGAAATACTTCACATCACTAATGGCTGGAAAAGCATATTTTAGATACCACAACGTCTTAAATTTACCACTCGATTAATTCTGTACATAAGCATCGTATATTTTAAACGCAGAGACGAGCATTATACATGAAATTAAAATTCGATTTCGTATAACTATGTTTCACAAGGACCGTCGCTGCTACGTATTGCTACGAATTTAATTTTAGCCGTTTTGAGAAAAAATATCGGACAGCACAGTTTTATCTTTTAACTTTCTTATCTTTAACGTACCGAACAAACTAAAGTGTTAAAGTTAAATCGAAATAAATATCTATTGTTTTTATATAATATCTAAATGATACTACTATACTAAAATGACACATACAATTTCGTAGCTATGATAATAACTAATTTTACGCCTCCTTTACGAGTACTTCCTTACTACCATTTCCTCAGTTAAAATGATTTCTAAATTATTAGCGTGATCGTAGGCTAATAGAGTTGCTCAAACTATCAACTACATCTAGATACCATTATTTTACACGTACACGTAGTTAGTCCATTTTGAATTATTGTCAAGTTTTATTTAACATATTGTCAAAGTTTTTAGTAGGGAGTTTTAGGGGTTAATACTGCATTTACTTTTACTTATTTAAGTAACCTCTATCTGTGTATATATAAAAATAAAAATAAAGTCTTCCTGACAAACTTCAATTGGAAATTTAAATTTTGAAAAGAAAATGAAATTTTGGCAATGCTATAAAATTTCTACTACCTTTTATCATCTACATAAACTTTTAGTGTTTGTGATTTCGATTAATCACTTAGTGATGTGATGTTTCGTTTCATAGATTTAACTTTTTTAAGCTTTTGATTTACAATCTTCCTACAATTAAGCGCATAAAGACTAAGCTCTTCTGGGAAAAGCAATCTGAACCTATTAAGTCAATTACACTCGTTAGCTCCGAAGATAAGTCTGGAGACTAGATAAATTTATTTTTATAGCAGGATGAAGTGTAAACTACTTTATACGTGTAATCCATACTAATATATAAATGAACAAGTAACTCTGTCTGTCTGTCTGTTTGTCCAGTTACCTTTTCACGCTTAATCCGCTGAACCTATTTAGACGAAATTTGGTATGGAGATTGTTTGAGACCCTGGGAAGGACATAGGATAGTTTTTATGTATTTCATACTAACCGTTATAAGATACCTAGAGATGGACCCGAGTGAAGCGAGGGTGAGTCGCTAGTAACGTTATATAGTACATAGGTATACCATAACATTTAAAGATGCCGTCTTCACAATTCATAATTGAATTAGGCTTTAGTAGAACTTTAATTAGTTCTCAGAATCCATGAATTTACATTTATAATAACCTAAATCTTTGCAATTATAATAAACTAGCGACTCATCCACGCTCCGCTCGGGTCTCTAGTTACGTTTTAATTCACAGAGTTGAGATATTTTCTCGCAGTAAAAATAATGTTATATATTGAACCAGATAACTAGCTATCATCATACTAAATTTCATCAAAATCTGTCTAGTGGTTTTCTCGTGATGCGTTTCCAGAGACAGACAGACAAAAATTCTAAAACCTATAGATTCGGTGTCTGTATCGACAATAATGACTATTTCAATAAGATTTTCCAAAAAATATATTTAATGGACAGATTTGACTCAGAATTTTATTATATGTGTAGATTTATATATGTATAATTCATACTATGGCCAAATAAAGACATTTTTAAAATGGATAAATAAAGATTTGTTTGCTTGGTTTGTTTATATCGGATTGTATTCAAAAAGTATCTGAATCTTAAGAGTGTAAAATGGTATGAAACCGGTGTAGAAAGGAATTTTATATATGAAATTGAATTATCTAGTAAAATACTCAAATGAACTCGTATTGATAACTCCAACTACTCGTATAGCATGATTGCAAGCCAATTGTGAACTTTACAACGACAGATCGTAACGTAAGTAAGGTACTTGTGCGCTTCAATGTTCATA